GGACCTTAAGCTCCGAGCCTCCGTCTCCCCACCTGAGAAGGAACTGGGAGCCCCCACGTTGTGCAGGGTTGGTGCGGGTAGCTGATGTGGAAATGGCCCCCTCACCCGTGCCGGCACACATATACCCGACACTGCTGGGATGTGCAGACAGCTGGACCTCAGGCACTCTGACCTGTACCTGACCCCGTGCACGGAAGCCTCCCCACCTCCTCCCGCAGCCCCGAGACCTGTGCCCTCGCACAGGTACAGGAACAGGAAGCTCAATGCATGTTTACTGGCTGGTCAGATGGGAGGGATGGCCCACCAGGGGGGCAGGCCAGGTCCTGGCAGGCTTCTCTCTGCCCCGGGCTCTGCCTGATGGGTGGACGGCCCAGGTCTTGGCTGAGAAGAGGTTTCTGACCAGGAGGACCAGGACTGCGCGGTTAGAAGCCATGTGGGCTCTGAAGCCCTGGGTCCTCCAGGCCCGGCTGGTCTCCTGCTGCCTCTGCTTTCATTCCCCAGGGGCAATACTCCTGCCCCTCATGCATTCCAAACCCTCTCTCCCCTGTTCTGGCTGCTGAGGGCTCCCCTCACCCCGCGTTCCCACACACAGACAGTGGAGGGCCTCGGGCCATCCAACTTCAAACATGGCTGCCTTCCCTCTGAGCAGAAGGGGCACAGTTCTGCCCAGGGGGGCAGGTCCTGGTCATTGCAGGTGATGAAAAGGGGCACAGTTCAGTGAAGTGAGGCCCACAGTCAGGTAAATGCGATTCAGCTGTGAGTTTCAACAGCCTCTCCTCAGCAGAGCACGCAGAACGTAGGTGCCTATATTCTCCAACTGCCCTCAGGCCCATGACTGCCCAGCAGGTAAGAGCGCAGGGTTACTGCCCCACTGCATGGACAGGAGGCACCCTGAGGGCGAAAGGACTGGTGAAGCTGGCGCCTGCTTGCTGGCCTCTCCCTCCTCCCGCCCGCTCCCTCCTGGGGCCCTGGCACAGCACGCCCACGAACCAGGCAGAATCATCTGTCCTCTGTTTAAATGAGGCCCCAGAATGATGACATTGTCACAGGTACTATGTGAAGATTTAAAAAATATAAACATTGGATGGATTTTTTTTAAGCCCGACCGATTCTCAAATTTTAACTAATGGAAATTCTAGAGAATCACCTAAAGATCAGTCTCCACATCTCACCGAAAATCCCAGGTTGGGGTTAAAGGGCACTGCTTCCCGGGAGGTCCCTCAGGGAGGCAGGCAGTGTTCGGGGTGAAGCAGGAAGAGGCTTCCGAAAGAGTCTCCCTGCCCGGCCTCTGCCTCACAGGTAAGTCCACCCTATCAGCACACACATCGGCTGTTCCCAGCTCCGCTCCATTCCCGTGCTCTGGCCTCACCTCTGCCCCGGCTTCTTCCCCACTCCCACCCTGCACTAGCCCATCCCCCAACCATCGCGGGCTGTGCACTTTCCTCTGGCCTGCACCACCCCCACCTGCCCACCCCACACAGTCCCCCTGGCCCACACTGAGCCCCCCGCCCCACACCAGCCCTGCCCCGGCATGGTGCCTGGCAAGGCCCCTCTCCCGCTTCAAGACCTTCCGCAGCAGCAGCTCAGGCTGCCTTCCAGGCACTGCTCAGCTCTGGGCTCAGCACCTGGACGCTCTCCCACCTCAACGTGACCACAGTCCTGACTGTCTCTGCACCTGTCTCCCCACCGGACTGTCCTGAGGAGAGGGGCTGGCCCTTTCCTCTGTGGATCACTGACACCTGCCCATGTCTCTGGGAGGGCAAATGAGGGCAGAGCTTGCTTGCCTGTGCCTAGTGTATGCAAGTACCTGTTCTGCATTGGCTGTGATGGGGCCGGTCACACTCAGAGCCGGGGCCTGCGGCGCGGAGAAGGGAGGAGGAGGAGGCGAGGAAAAGGAGCCGGCACTTGTCCTCTGCTGCGCCTGGGACCTGGGCACGGTGGCGGCGGGATCCACTTCAGGGACACTCTGGCATGGCAACAACAGAGTCCTCTGCTCACTCGGACTGCCTGCGCAGCAGGACCTGGCGCCTGCCCCACCCAGGGCAGCACTAGCTGCAGCACCTGTGAAGGGGGGCCCTCTGCTCCCAGTCTTTCCCTCTACGCCCTCCCAATGGCCTCTGCCTCTGCTTCCCTCAGAGCCAAGCCCAGACCCCTCAAAAGGCGGCAGGGAGAGCCCTAGCACTCTATACCCCATTACTAGGGCCACCTAGGGATCCTTAGTTGGTACCAGAAGATTATGTTTTGGCTTTTACAAGTAGACTAATATAAATAGTAATTATGTAATTTACTGAACATTCTTTGTAATTACAGGAACAACAACATAGTTCTGTATCATCTATCTATATAAAAGGCTAATAAGCTAAGTGTCCTTCCCTCCAGCCAGGTAATGATGTCACATAGCAAAGCCTGGCTTCCTCTCCCTAGCGACGACTAGCCTCCTTGCAGTTTCTTCAGCCCAGGAAACTTTAGCCAGGTGGAAACACTTTACACTTTAACCATATGTCTGTGAAGTATTTTCCTGTGCCTCATCTCATTTGATCCTCACAGAAGTCCTGGAGTAGGTAGATAGGAGA